GGCGCGGTCCGTGAGGAGGGCTGTAGTTGGCGGCATTACTTGTGATCAAGTCGCGTGGAAGTACACGAAGTAGGAAGTGAGGAGCGTTCATAATCCTGCCTGTAGAAGACCGTGTTCAGTGTTTCCTAGCGACAGGTGGGCAGCTAGAGGAAGCTAAAGAGACCCACAGATCCGGATGCCGGAGGTCTGGCAGAAGAGGTGCAGTCAGTTCTTGCTGAATACACTGTATGCACGTTGAATAGATACAGACTGTAGTGCTCTCTCCTCTCTCTCTATATCAGTCTACCTATCTACTTACCTGTTGACTAGGTCTCTATCATACACTAATGCAACTTCAATAAGCAGGGAATAATTTATCCACCTTGTTTTGTAACTTTTCGTGTCCTAATAAATCTTGTCCATCTTTCACTGCTAATATTTTGTCATTTATTTTATTTATTTATTTGGTAAAGGGTCTTGTTATGAAGCTTGGACTCATAGTGATTCTCCTGCCTCAGCCTCCCCCGCACTGGCATTCCAGGTGTGCACTACCACACCCGGTCTTGGTGGCTGGCACAGTGTGCCCTAGGGTTCTGGGGCCAGCATGGCATGTGGTACCAGGAATCGAACCCAGGTCCTTGCACTTGCCAGGCAGGCACTTAGACTGCTGAGCTATCTCCCTGGCCCCTGTCTTGTCTTTTTTTTTTTTTTGGGGGACCAGAGATTGAACTCAGGACCTGTAGCCAAGCACTTACTGCACTGAGCTATCTCCCCAGGTGTCTTATTTTTAATGGCTCTGTGGTATTCTTTTGCAGATTTCCTTATTGATTGTCCTTTAGATAGCTGCATTTTTAATGGCTTTATATTAAACACTGTAGCAAATACGTGTATGTGCATGTTTTCAGCAATTACGAGTACAGAGAATTAAAGATTATACATTCTAATAAATATGGTTAACTGCTTTTTAATTTTCTTTTTATTAACTTACATTTTTGATAGAGTTGGTGAGGATTCTTTTCCCTACATCCATTCTGGCTATGATCATTTAAAACATTTCTGCAGTCTGATGAGCTGAAATGTTGTTCTGTTATTGTAAAAATTTATATAACTTTGCTAGCAAAAATCTTTCTTCAGTTTTACTGTCCTATAAGATAAATTTGCAATGTTCATTTCATTTGCTTTGTCTATGGTTTATAGTTGAATTGGCTCCTTTTAAAAAAACTTTATAGGAATAAAAATTGGGCATGTAATGGAAGGCATGTTAGGATGGACTTTTAAAAAGGAGGTCAGGATCGGTTACGTCTCTCCTCAAGCCTCCTGCTGAGTTAGATCCGCGGGGCCGTCAGGCCTCCGTGTGCCTCCGCAGTATATCTGCGCCCTCGGTAGTGGTGATCCGGCCACTGACTCCTGCTGTCCTCTGCATGTGCTGGGCCAGCGCTTTCCACTGCTTCTTCGATTTGCTCTATCAGAGAACAATTAGGACTAAAAGAATTGAGCCCAGGGCGCTCAGCTGCGCATCGCTTGCCTATGAAGCCGCCTGCCCTAGCTCTTTAAAGATTTCTGAGGTAGGGTCTTGGTAAGCTGGCAGAGCCTGCTGTGAACAGGCCTCATCCTTATGTGGAGATTTCTGACACTTGAAGATTTTTTTAAAAAATTTATTTATTGGATAAAGGGTCTCACTACGCAGTTTAGACCTGTAGTGATCCTCCTGTCTCAGCCTCCCCAGTGCTGGGATTACAGGTGTGTGCCACCATGCCCAGTTTTGGGGCCTGCTCAGTGTGTCCAGTGGTAGCACAGCATGCTGTACTGGGGATCGAACTTGGGTCCTTGCGCTTAGACCACCAAGCTATCTCCCCAGCCCCTGACTGGTCATCTTGAGGTTTTGTGCGTCAGTCCCGCACAAAGCTTCTCCCTGTGAGCCCTGTGGACACAGAGGGCCAGGTGCTGTGTGCTGGGGCCAACCTGTGCCCTGTAGGACTCACGGCAGCCGGGGGCTCTGCCCTCTCACTGAATGTGTCCCCAGATGCCACCCGATGTTCCCTAGCTGCCAGGTGCCCTTGCCGGGAACAGCTGTGTTAGCTAGAGGATGACCAAGCCTGTGTAAGTAGGGTTTCCTAACTGTCCTTCTATTCTGGCCATGTATAAATTGGTTCTTAATTTTTAAATCTTATTATGATATTTTACTGGCAGGGAATCCTCTTAGGAATCAGTCCTCTAAAGAGGTGTTGATCACAGAAAGAACTCCTGGTAGCAGCACAGAGATTATGAATCAGTGTCAACTGCCTTCCCAGAATTGGCCGTGCCCATTTATGTTTTATTTATTTATTTATTTTTGTATTTTAGGGAAGGGTCTACACGGTGTTCAGGGTCTCACTACTAGATCAGATTTGTAGTGATCCGCCTGTTTACAATCTCCTCCTGAGAGCTGGGATTACAGGCGTGTGCCACGGCGCCCAGTCTCTACTGTGGTCTCAGTGCGCCCCCTAGGGGTGGGGGTGGGGCCAGCAGGGCAGGCCCAGGGATCGACACCCCTCCCCCCCTGCATCTAGGCAGATGCTTTAATCCACTGAGCTATTTGGCCAGTCCTGCCCATTCCTTTAACAAGTCTTTTTGTATCACACAAAACCCTTTGAGCCCATTTCCGTTTTTTTTCTTATCAAACAGAACTGACAAGAAAAGGAAGGCGCTGGGATGCTCATGCTGATGAGAACTTATTTTTCCAGCCAGGGCCTAGAAATAATCTCACACCGAAGGTTTTTCGGTTGCTCCCGCAGTCTGGGGCCCGTGCCCCGGGGTGTGAGAGCTCCTGTAGGACCTGACTCAGCTGTGTCTTCCACTAATACCTAGCATTTCTGGGAGAGTGAGGACGCTTTCTCGGGGGATGGGTGATGGGCCTCCCGGCTGACCTGGGGGGAGGGCAGCTCCGGTGCCGGCTTGTGGTGTTAGCCCAGCGCTCAGGTTCTGTCTGGCTTCTGTTCCAGTGTTTTCCACTTCCTGTGTGCCCGCTTGTCATGGCCCAGGTTTGTTTCTTGAATCAGATTATAGCTTTATTGAAGGCAGGCCAGGTTTAACATGTATTCCAAGACATTTAGCATCATGCCTTGCATGTAAGAAATGTGCATTAAATGTTTTCCAATATTATTTTATTAATTTACACTATAAGAACACTATAAATTAACACCAATTTGTATTACTTTGTAGTTCAGAATTTTTGATAAAGCCTTCTAGCTTTACCTGGCAAAGCCAACAAAGAGCAGGAAAGGAGTTCCAAAGCAATATAAAACTATTTTATATTGTCCTCCACATATGTTGGGGTTGTTTTAGGAAATTTACACAGGAATAATATTTCCTTATTTAAGAGGGCACACACAAAGCCTACGTGACAGCATGAATTTTTTTTTTTTTTTTTTTTTTTTGTACCAGAAATTGAATTCCGGACCTTGTGCCTATGGCCAGGTTTACGCTGGCCTCAAGCCCCCGTCCACGACAAGTGTGCCGCGCATTTTGCTTAGTGCAGGAGCACTCCTGATGCTGCGGGTTGCTGCCGCAGTGCTGACTTTAGATCCGCATCTGAGCGAGGCAGCACGTCCCTGAGGTGGCTGGTCACCTGGACCCACCACTGTTGTGCAAAATGTGCTCTGCAGTTTTGCAGGTCTCGCAGTTCTAGTGAGTGCTTTTGTTTGTTCGGGTTTTCTGGTCACAAATGGAAAAAAATCTCATTTGCAACCAACTTACATATATATACATATATATATTTTTTCTTTTTTTTTTTTTCAAAAAGGTCCACAAATGTGGGAATCGTTAGTTTTCCTAAGAGTGCCCTCACCTCTGTTGTGTCCTGCCTTGGGCATCATGGCACCGGGGGCAGATTTTGGGTTCCCTCTTGGCCGTTGGTCCTCAGAGCTACTTCTCTCAGCCTCCAGCCTGAGGCCAAGTGCGCCCGGCTCAGCTGAATGGGCGGGTGAAGCCTGTCACGGGAGCCTGCGTGCGCATCCTCCTGCAGCACGTTGTGCGCGGCTGCAGGGGCGTGAGTGCAGAGCCCGGCACTCAGCCTCTGCTCGGCCCTTTTTCATAGTTATAGAAGGGGATTGAACTCAGGGCCTTTGTACTGAGCTACATCCCAGTCTTTCTTCTTTTCTTTTTTTTTTCTTTTTTTTGTGGCGGAGCCGGGGATTGAACTCAGACCCTTGCTCTTGCCAGGGAAGCGCTTAATCTGCTGAGCCGTCTCCCCGGCCCTAGTTTAGGTTTTTTGAAACAACCTCACTGTCATTCTGGCTGGCCTTGAAATCTTTCTGTCCTCCCTTCTCAGCTGCCCGAGTGCTGGGGTAACAGCTGAGCACCACCGTGCCCAGCTCGGTTCTTGGTTCAGGTTCTAAGCGTCGAGAGAGCCTGAATTACTACCTGCGATGCAAAAAGACTCCCCTCGCCCCCAGCCCTGTGGTCTGCGCCACTGAGAAACCGAGGATGATACCTACAGTGAATTACCAGGCCATGTTTGGTTAAAATTGCAACGTTACAATTTCAGATGCGGATCTAGAGTCAGCACTGCAGCAGCAAATGGCAGCATCAGGAGTGCAAAAAAAGAAAAAAGATGGGGGAGGAGGATCAGAGATGGGTGAAGGCGGGAGGGAAGGAGGCGGGCGGGCGGGCGAAGAAGAGCGAAGACGTGCAGGGCGTGCAGGGCGTGCGCCGGCTCCCGTCAGGGAGGCAGATGTTACGCTGCACGGTGGTACTGATTGAAGGGAAAGAGGAAACGAGTGAAAGACACTTCCAGCCTGCACAGTGCCTTGGGACTAGGTTGAGGACTCGGCCCCTGACTTTATAGCCAGTGTCGTTTGGTTTGCACCGGCACTTCCGGAAGTAGTCCCAGACTCGTGACGTCAGCACCACCTGGGAGGTGGTGGCAGTGTCAGTGTCTATCGTGGAAAGATGGCGAGAATCTGAACTCGGGCTGGAGCCCGCGGGCCTCGGGGCAGCTGTGGGGACCGCCAAAGCCCGAGTACGCTGCGTGCGCATTCCGTCCCACCTTGCCGGGACACTTGAAAGCAGATGTCATCGCTTGTTTGCAAAAGCATTAATGCACTATTTTCCTTTAAGAACAATGTAATCATAAACTGGCGTAGCACTGAAAGAGCTGCTTGCCAGGGGCTGCAGTGCTGCCTTAGTTAAGGTGAACACTGTCTTAATCCCACTGTAGTATTTTACTTTAAGGAAATAACGAGGGGCTGGCGATATGGCTCAGTGGCATAAACGCCTGCCTGGCAAGTGCAAGGTCCTGAGTTTTATTCCTGGTACCAAAAAAAAAAAAAAAAAAAAAAGAATTTAATAAAGCAGGAACAGCTGGGATGTTGTACATCAAAACACTAATAGTTACCTTTGGAAGATGTGACTTACGTTCCCTTTCTCCTTTCATATCTGATTTTGGTTTTTTAAACAGTAGACATGTCTTTTTTTTTTTTTTTTTGCTCCGAAAGCCTTCAGGGCATGATTGGCTGGCTTGAGTTGTGGGGATCCAACCACAGCAACCTGAGCCTGACTGCTTTGTTGAAGCAGCCACTTAAAGAACTGAGCTAAGGGGCAGGGCCCCGACATGTCTTTTTTAAGCGGGAAAAACCAGTTACTTTAACTTCTATTGGAATGAGCTCCTGATCGACTTCTGTTGTGATGATGGTGTCTTCTGCTTTTGCAGACGGGCACATGCTGGACTCCGCCAGATATGCCATCATTGGAGCAGATCTCCGCGAGCTACCTGAACTGGAAGAGAAGCTAAAGAAATGTAACATGAGTACACAGTGAGATTTTTTTTAACTTATTGTGTATTTGGGATTTCAGGTTAATTATGAGAAGTGTACTAGGATGCCCGTCTTCCATTTTTATTCTATAAATTCTATCGTGTCTTTGCTACCTCTAATTAGTACTATTTTTTTTTTCTATGTATTTGGTTCAGGGTCTCACCACACAGCTCAGACTTGTAGTGATCCTCCTGTTTTCAGCCCCCCCAGCGTTGGGTTTACAGGCATGTGCCACCAGCCTGGGTCTTGGTTGCTGGCTCCGTGTGCCCAGGGGCGGGGCCGGTGCAGCATGAGGTGCTGGGGATTGAACCCTAGTCCCTGGGCTTGCCAGGCAGGCGCTTAGTCTGCTGAGCTATCTTGCCAGCCTGAGATTTGTACTTTTTATTTTATTATTTATTAATTTTATTGAGAAATAGCAATGAGACAGTTTCAAAACAGGTTAGTAGGACAGTTACAATAATTAATACATTGCATATTGTATACATTGACCACATGGAGAGAAACAATTTTGTAACACACACAATGCTAGAGTGTAGAGTGTTGTAAAAAAATAAGTGTTATCTGGGGAGATAGCTCAGCAGTCGAAGTGTCTGCCTGGCAAGTGCAAGGACTGGGGTTCGATCCTGGTACCACATGCTGTGCCAGCCCCAGAGCGTGCTGTGCCTGCCCCAAAACTGGGCATGTGGTACATGCTTGTAATCCCAGCACTGGGGAGGCAGAGATAGGAGGATCATTACAAGTCTGAACTGCATAGTGAGACCCTGTACCAAATAAATTAAAAATTAAAAAAAAAAAAAATCCATTGGAAAATGAGCAAAAGAAATGACCAGGCAGTGCAGTGGCTGGGGGTTTGATCCCTAGCATGCCGTGCAGGTCCCGCCCCTGGGCATGGTGTCACACATCTGTAATCCCAGTGCTTGGGATGCTGAAAGCAAGAGAATTACTACGAGTCCGATCTATGTAGTGAGGCCCTGTACTAAATACGTAAGAAGAAGAAAAATGACCAGGCTGCTCCGAGAAGCAGCAGAATACTCCACAACATTAGAATATAACCTGCGTGAATATGCGGAAGTGCTGAGTCCGAGGAGCAGTCAGACGCGGTTCTGTTTCCTACCCCTTAGTCGTCAGGAGTATGGGTGCGGACGCGATGTGCAGGTGGGGCTGGCACACACCAGAGGTGTGGCAAGTAGAGGGGACCATCCAAAAGAACTTAGGAGAAGGGCAGGTACATGCACCAGAGGGCGCAGCAGTCCTTCTGGGCATGTCCCTGGAGGTCTTGGAGTTTGTTTATGACAGTCACTCAAGTAGCAGAAAATTGGCCTGAACGGGTGAAATATAAAATGCATGCCCTGGATCAAGAGGACAGGGCTCAGACACCCGGCTGAGGAAAAAATCAAGTTGGAGCCATTTACGTGTAGTGCGATACCAGGTACTTGAACCCAAAGCCCTAAGCTGCTCTTTGTAATTACATACTTACGTTGCAGAGATATTTTATAGAGACCAGAAGGGCTCATGCTAAGTTCTTGAGAGGGAGCACCCTGGGAAGAAGAGGTGGTCAAAATCAGGTTGGAGTTAAAGAGGTAAAGATGACACTGTCGTGAGTATTTAGTGTTAGGAGGGGAAGACTGCAGTAAAAGGATTATTATTTTAAAGAATAAATGGAAGCAAATATCACTAGCCAAGATTAAGAAACTAGTAGCGCAAGAAATCCTTGCTGGAACAGTCATGGAGGAGGGCGCAGGATGCAGAGAGGGGACCCCGCTTTCCTCCTTTCTTCTGAGCAGGAAGGAGGGAGGAGGAAGATCAAGGACAGACACAAAGGCGACCTTCCGGGGGACATGCACGGAAGCGTGAAGGTGCGCTGACTCTTCCGCTCTTCTCCTCGATGGCCGCTGCCGCTCTGCCTGTTGGAGCTCCTGTCAGCCTCGGGTTCCCGTCCAGGGGTCCTCATCAGGGTTTGCGGGCCTTCTGGTCCGTGGGGCCTGGTCCAGGGCTTGCTGGGACTTGGCCACGTCCTCTCTGGCTTTGCTTCCCTGCCACGGGATACACAGTTTGTTCCACCATGTGCTGCTGCCTCAATGTCGTGCATCGCCATGGCCCCAGGCAACAGAGCCAGGCAGTCTTAGACCAAAAGCTCTAAAATAGTTGCTAGAACCAACTTTGTTTCTAAGTGTTTGTTAGAGTAGAGAAAAAGGACAAACAAGCTATAAAGTGTTTTTTGGCTGTCGTCTGTTGGGGACCCCTTACACATGTCACAGCCTCTAGTGTGAGGCGTGTTTCTCTTTGGGCTGAGCGGGAGTTGTGATGCTCAAGCGTGCTGGTTTCCTGGATGCGTATTCATGGTGCATGTTCATAGGTGTGCGTTTGGGTAAATCGGTGGTATATTGGCTAAAGCCGATGCTCACAGGCAGCCACAGGTGCCTCGTAGTGTCACAAGAGCCCAGATCGTGGACTCTTACCTTTGTTTGTTTACTAGATATTTAGCAGGGGCCTTTTTTTTTTTTTTTAATTTTAGGGAAGGGTCTACAATGTTCAGGGTCTCACTACTAGTTCAGACTCCAGTGATCCACCTGTTTCCAGCCTCCCAAGAGCTGGGATTAAAGCTGCGCGCCACCATGCCCAGTCTCAATCACTGTCTCAGTGCACCCCTCGGGTGGGGCTGGCACAGCAGGCCCAAGTAGGGGCCATTTTTAATGTTTTGTTCCTGGAGTCTTGGTTTCTTCTTTGTGAATTGGGATTTAAAACTATGTTACCAAAAAAAAAAAAAAAAAAAAAAAAAAGAAAAAAACTATGTTACCATACAGGGTTTTTTGTTTTTTTGGTAGCAGGAATCAAACTAAGGACCTTTCACGTGCCAGGCAGGTTCTGTGCTGAGCTGTGTCCCCAGCCCACCATGTGGTTTTGAAGATCAAAGGAAGCAATACATATGAACATAGTTGATCAGAAAACAAGTCACATCTGAATCTGATTTTGGTAGTAATGACCTCCCGTTTCTGCAGATGAGGTGGAGGACCAGGGAAGGAATCGGCTTGCAGTCGGGCGAGCTCTTGACAGGCACGTTTGCTTTGCTTTTGGAAGTCGGCAAGATGACAGAAAACTAAGTGCTAGACTCTCCTGTCTGACTCCTTTTTCTCTACTCTAACTGAAGTCGACTCCAATTGACTTCATTGCGTTCTGTAGTTTGCTTTACGGGCCGACGTTTCTGTGTGCTTTTCTCCATTTGTATTTGGAAAAGCGTGACTCATAGTAATGACTGTTTCCATAATTTAAAAACTCAACTACATGAAAGATAAAAACACCACATTTCCTGAAGTCCTTGGACTTCCTCGGGTCTAGGCTGAGCGGCCTAAGTGCCCGCCTACTAAATGCAAGGTCCTCAGTTCCATCTCCAGTACCGAAAATTTTTTTTTTCTAACTGACATGTCTTCTTCACTTAACTTCTTTACATAAAATTTTAGGCAACAATAGTTGCCTTTTGCATTGAAAAGCTTCATGTGATCTTCCTGCCTCAGCCTCCCTGAGTGCTGGGATATCAGCATGTGCCCCCTCTTGAAGCTTATTTCTCTAAAATATTAGTTTTTACTCATTCACTTAGTTTTTCTAAGCATTCCTAGTTGCCTAACCTGAGTTTTAGATTTGGATCATTATTATGTTTTTAAAAATCTTCTTTTCCATGTTTTGCCTTCTGATGTTTGCTGTTTTCTAATCCAGATGGACTCAGTTCTCTTTCTGCTGGATTCAGCGGTCTCTGTTTCTTTGTATCATGGTAAAGGTGTGGCCATGTCCGTTCACTGTAGCTGGCGGCTGTTCAGTGCTCCAGGGACCTTTCGGAGAGACATTTTTAACTAACTTGAGTTATGTAATGTTGATTGTTTTGGGGTATCTTTAGTGCAGTTCCAACAGGAACCTAGAGTAGGCTGTGACCATGAACAATTTCCTTCACCTCTCTGTCTTTGCTGCCTTCTCTGAATACTGAGAAAAATACTGGGATGGGGGAAAGGACGAAAGAAAGAAAGAAGAAAGGGAAAAGAAATACATTTGTGTATACACAGGCTAGCTTAGATAATTGTACTGCTGATTTCTGCTCGTCTATTGAAAGGAGCAGTTAATACTTCATTTTTTTTTCTCTCCTTTTTATTTTATTTTATTTTTGCCTTATTTGAAGACAGGTTCTTGTTAGGCAGTTCAGGCAGGCTTTGTGAGCACTGTGTAGCCCAGGCTGGTCTCAAATTCCCAACGGTCCTCCTGCCTCAGCATCCTGAGTGCTGGGATTACAGGCGTGCGTCACCACGGCTGGAAAATTTTGTATAATTTTGACCAACTTTGCAAACTTATATCTGGTAATCTGAATGACTAATTTGAAGACAACACTATGCAATATAACACTGCTGTTGAATTTCTATAATTTTGTTTGTCAAATGCTGTATTGTCTCTAATTTTTTTTCTATTTTTAAAAAATTCTCTTTAAAAGAAATGAAAACAATATGTAATGTATTAACCATTGTTATCTTCCTAGCATATTTTTTGGTTTTTGCTTTTTTGTGTTTTCTTTTTCTTTAAAATATTTTTGATTAAAATGTGATATGTATATGCACTAGTTCCCCAAGATGACTAAAATTATTATGTATTATAAGCATATACCAATTAAAATATACTTACAGAGGTAAAAAAAAAAATTATAGACCCAACATTGAATGTTAATGTTGTGATGTTTGTAACTTTTTTTTTTTAATCTCAGAAATGCTACTCATTGCTCTCGTTTTTAGTCCCTGGGAAAGAAGATAAAAATAATTTCTAATCTCAATAGAGATCATCGCTTTATACCTGTTACTTCAAAATTTGTGAATATATATTCTCTTTAAAATGTGATCACTGGGGCCAGGGAGATGGCTCAGTAGAATAAGTGCTTGTTCACTCCTGGCAAGTTCAATCCCCAGTTCCACCTAAATAAATAAATAAATAAATTAAATAAAATGTGATCATCAAGATGCATTAAGCAGGGCCGGCCAAATAGCCGAGCAGATTAAAGCTCCTGCTTAGGCAGACACAGCAGCCAGGGTTTGATTCCTGGCATGCTGTGGTGGCTCCACCCCTGGGCTGTGCTGAGACGGTGATGGAGGCTGGGTGTGGTGGCACGCGCCTGTAATCCCAGTGCTTGGGAAGCTGAAAATAGGAAGATCACTTCGAGTCTGATCTACAGTGAGACCATGTAGACCCTTACTAAAAAAAAAAAAAAAAAAAAAAAAGATGTGTGAAGTGCACGCACTGCCTTGCAGGAATGAGCCCCGCCGTTCTGCACTGGTCGTAGAATGCAGTCCTGTTACCTAGACAGCTCAGGATTTCCAAAAGAAGACACCGTAGTTCTCTCTACTTGTGCCAGCCGTGAGGAATCAGTACTGCAGAGGCAGAAGGGGGATAAGGACGCAGTAAAGGAGTCAGAAGCAGCGTGACTGAGCAGGAGGCGACCATGGGCGTGGATCCTGGCCAGAAGGGAGGGCGGGGTCTGCGGGCCTCCTGGCCCCCGTCCTGCCGTGTAGGCCAAGGGCCCTGACCTCGCGGAAGCACATGCAGGCGCCTTGTCCTCCCTCCTCAGGTTGCCAACACTCCTGATCGCTGAATGCGTGCTGATCTACATGACTCCGGAGCAGTCGGCCAGCCTCCTCAAGTGGGCAGCCAGCAGTTTTGAGACCGCCATGTTCATAAACTATGAACAGGTAAGGGGAAGCACGAAAGAGCAGGGTTCTGCACAGCACTCCACGGCTGGCCTTCCCTCCGGGGACGGGCTGCGTCTTCTCTCCTTGTTCTTGAGCCATCGGCCTGCACAGTGAACTACATTCCCAGCCCTTTTGATGTGCGTGCGTGTGTGTGTGTGTGTGTGTGTGTGTTGTGTGTGTGTGTGACCAGTTCTCACTGAGCTGCCCCGTGGGGCTTGAACTTGGCAACACTCCTGCCTCAGCTCCCCAGAATCCTGGGATTACAGGCACACAGCACCACACCTATTCTCTCCCTTCCTTTCTTCAGCTTTTGGCTACTCACAGCACTCCAGGGTAGCTTCTTTATTGATTGATTCCAACAGTCCTAGCACTCTAACTCTTGAGTTCTTGACCTCTTGCAAACTTGTAGCTAGAGCTGTGGGAATCTGTCTTAGTCTTTAGTTTATTTATTGATACAGGGTCTTGCTACACAGCTCAGACTTGTAGTGGTCCTCCTGTCTCAGCCTCCCCGGTGCTGGGATTACAGGTGTGTGCCACCAGGTCCGGTTTCAGTGGCCGGCTTGGTGCTCGAGGCTGGCTCAGCATTTGGTACTGCGGATTGAACTCGGGTCCTTGTGCTTGCTAGGCAGGCACTTAGACCGCCGAGCTAGCTCTCCAGCCCCTATCTTAGTCTTGATATTCCACTGTTTACTACGGAGTTGTAGAACATTATGCTCTTTTAAGTGCGGTCAGTGTAATGGGTAGCGGCACGTGCAGTGCAGGCGGGTGACGCAAGGAGCAGAGTAGCTGGATGCAGATAGTGTGGTGAGGGGCCGGGGGACCTGAGCACATGGGTGCTTCTGCGAGCAGCTTCCACTCAGGCCCAGCCAGTTGCGACATCGTGACCATGTGATCCTCGAACTGCCAGAGCTCCCAGCTGGAAAGGCAGGGTTTAATTTCTGTAACTGCTGAGATGGGCCCACGGGCGGCCCGGTTGTCTCTTCTGATCTAGGGTGGAAAAGGTCCTGTGTGGGGAGCCAGTGTGAGCCCCGATCACTCTTGACTGGCTGTGTGACCTCAGGCAGCTCTACCTCGCGATTGCAGCTGTGCTCTGGAAGTGCACTTTCCAGGTGGGTGGTGGGACCCTGTGCCTGTCTGCTCCCTGAAAATGCTGGCAGTTCCTCTTCCTAGGGCTGCTGTGAGGAGCGGAGGCGCGCCTTGTGTCCCTCAGAACCCTAGGTCTGGGGGCCGGGGAGATGGCTCAGTAGAAGAAGTGCTTGCCTGGCAATCATACGGACCTGAGTTCAATCCCCGGTTCCACCAAAAAAAAAAAGGACTGGGGAGATGGCTTAGTGGAATAAGCTCTTCCCTGGCAAGTGCAAGGGCCTGAGTTCAATCCCCGGTTCTGCAAAAAAAAAAAAAAAAAACAAACAAACCGAAACCCTAGGTCTTTTTCTAGAGGGATGATGCCCGCGTCTCTGGAGTAGGGAAGGGGCTCATGAGCCAACATTCAGCACTAGACGCACAGCATTGTGGTCGCTGCTAGTATTATTTTTTGGTGTTTTTTAAACATCAGAACTTTTAATGAGGCCAGATACCAATAAACCTATATAGCTTTTTTTTTTTTTTTTTTAAAGGAAGAAGGAGAGAGACTAAGAGGAGAGAAGACAGGTGTGTTTGGTTTTTTTTAAAATTTTATTTATTTGTGTGTGTGGCCAGCTCAGCCCACCAGGGCGCAGGGCTGGCTGGCATGTGGTGCTGGGGGATTGAACCGCAGTCCTTGTGTTTTGCTAAGCTTGTTCTAAGTAGGTGCTTTAGACCACTGGCCATCTCTCCAGCCCACTATATAGCTTTTTAAAGAATGTTTCTTAATGTAAATTCTAGTACTCTGAAAACAGGAATCAGAAAATGAAAAACTATTCCTAGTTCTTGGGTATACAGAACCAATATTCTCAAAAATGGAAACATTTGAAAAATACAAATATAGATCTAACACAATTCCAACCAGAATACCAACAGCATTCTTTACAGAACTGGAGAAAATCATCCTAAAATTCATATGGAATCAGAAGAGACCAAGAATAGCAAACGCAATCCTGAGTAATAAGCTCAGAGCAGTCATAGTACAGGACTTGAAGTTGTACTGTGAAGCCACAGTGATATAAACATGGTACTGGCATGAAAACTGGTGTTAACGGGCCAGGACCGAGGGCGCAGTAAAATCCCAGGTACTTTCAGCTGTTTGGTCTTCCACAAAGAAGTCAAAAGCAAAGGCTAGGAAAAGAGCCTCTTTAGTAATGCCGCACAAGGTTAAATACGGATCCTTATCTCTCACCATATACTAACCCAAAATAAAAATGGATCGAAGGACTAAGTATTAAATCAGAACACCGAATTTGCTAGAAGATAAAATAGATGCCAGCTGTGGTGACCAATTGCTCCTGTGCTTTGGAGCTTGAGGCAGGAGGACTGCTGCAACTTGAGGCCAACCTAGGATATGTCAGAAATTCAGGTCAGGTGAACTAGGTGAGCAGTACCCTGCATCAGAAACAAACAAACTCGGGAAAACACAGGTGTAGGCAGGGACTTTCTGAACAGAACATCAATTGCATAAGAAATAACACCAAAAACTAACAAGTGGAAACATATCAAATTAAAAAACCTTCTACAGGGCTGGGGAGAGGGCTCAGTGGAATAAGCGCTTCCCTGGCAAGCACAAGGGCCTGAGTTCAATCCCCGGTTCCGCCAAAAAATAAGTAAATGAAAACCTTTTACACAGCCAAGGAAACAACAGAGTGAAGAGATAACTTACAGAATGAGAAAAAATATTTTGCCAGCTGCATCTCTGACAGAAGACTAATATTTATAATATATAAAGGACTCAGAAATTCTAGGACCTCCTCATAAAATACCCAATCAAAAGATGCGCAACTGAAATGAATAAATACTTCTCAGAAGAAGTACAATAAATGCACAAACATGTTCAATATGGCTGGCCACTAGAGAAATGAAACAGCACTGAGATTCTGTCTACTGCAGAAAGAATGTCATCGTGAAATCAAATAAGGGCAAGTTCTGGTGAGGCTGCCGGGCACAAGGAGCCTTTCTGCATTGTTGGGGAAGTGTAACCTTGTACCTGCAGATCCTTCAAAAAAACAAAGACTAGAGATTGCATTTGACCCTGCTACCCCTTACTACCCTCCTGAAAGAGTTACAGAGGTTTCAGTCTATGTGCAGCCAGCTCCCAGGCAGTGGCACGTGGCGTGGCAGAGAGCAGCAGTTCATCTAGCCAGCCTCTCTCCCCTCATAAGAAGCTACTCTGGGCTGGGGGTGTAGCACTCACGCAGTGTCCACGCCCTCCTCTTGTACAGGATGAGGATGTTTACAAACTAAGAATCCTGGCTCTCTGCGGAGTCACTTAAACTTCTAAACTTCTCCAGTTGACACAGTGTATCAACCAGTACAATCCACCCCTTGTCAACTTGGCAACCAGATATTTCCTTAAACCAGTTTCTAGGTACACAGACATGCTTATTAACATTTTACAACCTGAGTGTTGCATTTCAGTAGAACCATAACATTTTGCCCTGGACCCCCCCCCCCCAAGACTCATGCACATCCCTTTATGCAAAAGGCACTTAGTCTTTCTGCAAGAGTTGCCAAAGTCTTTGCAGTTTCAGCTTTGCTGAAAAGTCCAAGCCTCAAGATCTAAGGCAGATTCTTAGCTGTGAGGCCCTGTACAAATGAAAAGTTGAACTTCCAACATTCAGTGGCACTTCCAACATTCAGTGGCACAAGAAAAGCATTACCATTCCAAAAGGTACACACAGGAGGACACGAGCCATTGGGACCAAAACAAATCCAAAGTCCAGAAGAGCAAACATTAAGTCCAGTAGGTCCATGTGGAAATCCGAAGCAACCTGTAATGAGTTCTAGCTCCAAAACCCTCACATGGCTCCACCCCTGCAGCACTTCTGCTGGTAGCTCCCTGGCTTTTCTCAGGGGCTGGCTTTGCTTCCTCCTTGCAGCTTTTCTCAGATAACCCATGTTGCTGGCTTTTCCAAACTTCTGGGGTTTCCACTGAATAGGCTTCTCACTCTCTGCCTCATACACTGCCCTCCCAGGGCACACTGTCTGGCCTCCCAGGCCTTCTGAAATCTAGGTGGAGGCCTTCTTAACCTCAGAACTCCTACATTTTGAATGTGCCGAATACCAGCACCACGTGGACAATGCCAAGGTCTGCTGCCAGCTGGAGCAGTAGCTAGGCTTTCTTCTCTCGTGGCTGTAGCGGTTGAGTGCCTGGATTGCTGAGCACTCTGACCCTAATTCCGAGGAACAAATTTTCTATGCTGCTGCCATTCTGGAACCTGGTGTGGCCCCTGCCTCCATTCTGGAACCTGGGGCTGTGCGGCTTTCTCTTCAGAGCCAAGTCCCTTACCCTCGGGGTTCTCAGGCTGTGAGGGACGAGAACCTGCCACCTCCTGTGATGCCCTCAGGTTATCCTTTCCATTCTCTTCCTCCTGAGCAGTGCTGATCTCAGCTCTGTCTTTGCAGTCCACAGCCTTCCTGATGCTTCCTTTCTGGCCAAACTTACATTTAAATCATCCTGCTGGGCTCTTTGCTCTTGATTCTCAAAATGAATCTGACTAAAAGCTCCCCAGTAATCCCCATGCCACACTACCTCAACATTTGACAGCCTTGCAGTTTCCTTTGTTAGGTTAACTAAGTCCACTGTGCTTAGTCTCAGGCAAAGTCTCTGAACATGAGCAAAATGCAGACAAACTTTCAGCCAAGCCATACCATAACTCATCCGGAGTCCAACAACCAATGCAGTCCTTCTTCCCAGCAGAAACCTCCCCAGCCTGGTCTTTATAGGCAGGCTTTCTATTAGCCTTCTGGTCTTCTGAGCTCTTACCAGAATCTCCCATACAGAAGAGCCGAAGGCATTCCAGCTCTTCCTGAGTAAGGGACATCTCCAAACCTTTCCTATCTCTTCCGATAAGCCATTCCTAAAAGCTCTT